ATAAAATGTTGAATTTTCAATATTTCGAATATTATTTTTGCTGGTGGTATTTGGAGTGTGGACTTTCACTGATTGTGTGCAACACTGAATACTTCCTCAAGAAAAATGTCTTAAAACGTTTTAAATTTGTTTAGAAAAAAATAGACTATGTTTTCAGAACTAATTGTTTGCTAACACACATGCAAAACAACTATTTATAAGGCATCGAAACATTTTTTCTCAAATTGTATTGAAGAATTGAAAACTCTCACTATGCGTATTATACTGGTGAAATTTGATAAAAATGTAATCCACAAACAAGAGATAGCCCTCAAGCGTAGACCCCATTCTTTAATAGCCGAGTTTTTTTTATACAGGGTGTCTACAAAAAAAGAGGACCTACAGAAAGCCGATACACTAATTTCAACCAAAATTTGAACAAGTAGAATTCGACCACGTAGGCGTCGATTTTGTAAATAATATGAATAAAATCAATCAATGTGTTCCAGAAATATGATGTTTTCAAAATTTCAACCTAAATTGGGTCAGACGCAAAATTTTACTTTTTAATAACGTTCAGCTACTGGGGAGTGATCGGCCCGGTCTGGTTTCAGGACAAGGTCGGTAAAACCACCACAGTCGCATCAGATGGGTATCTTACTGCTGAAAAAGTTTTGGAAAAGTTTGCGGAGGAGAATGTGTTGTGCTGGCGCTCATATGACCTTATGCAGTTGCGAGCGCCGTAAAACCTCTACTAAAACTAAAAGAGAATGTGTTCTGCTGAAGAAACCTGGTTCCAGTGAGATAGAGGCCACACCCCACATGTCAAGAGTGTCCCTTAGTATGGTTGCAAGAAAGGTTTGGGGAACACCGTATAAACCGAAAGTTTACCATTGAATAGTTACCACAGACCCCAGACTTGAGCCCCTTTGATTATTACATTTGGGGTACTTTGACAGACAGAGCCTACGGAAACAGCCCACAAATAATCGATCTGTTGAACCTCAATGTTGAACAGGACGTCCACAAAGTCTACCTAGAAACATACCACGGGATTAGTCCAAATTTCCACTGGTGTTATGGAGAGAATTGGTAAACACCTGGGGGTTTAAATAGCATCCACAAGCCCTGAGTTTATTTAGCAATATCAGTTGTGTATACTTTTGCTCTTCAATGCACAAATAGTGAATATTTGAAAATAAAACAATAATATGGTTGCAGAAGAAGTAGCAAAATTTTTCGTTTTGCTGAATATTGGTTGAAATTTTTAAAATTTGATATTTTTCGAACTTGTTGGTTGGTTATTTTTTATTTTTTTTTCATATTTGCAATGTAACTTCGAAGTTCTGTTGAAATTGGTCCAGAGATGGCCGAGTTATTACCATTTAAATGGGTCTTCTTTTTTAAACCCCCGGTATATAAATATGTGTGTGTGTGTGTGTGTGTGTGTGTGTGTG